ATATACAGCACAAACGGAACACCTGGCTCACTGATGGTGTCAGTATTTTACTTAGTTAACAGAGAATGCGAGGCCATTTGATTTTGGGCCTAAGATGTTTCCTAAGAACAACATTAGGGGACAAATAGCAAGGGAAAGCAGAGTCCTACCATGTATCTAATTCAGAACAATGGGCCCAGGCCTGGAGTGTGGAGCAAACAATCTGCACCGTCGGAGCCACGTACAAACACAGGAGATCCTTCTAGAAACCAGGGAGAACCCTCCAGCGTTGCAAGAAAACGATAGAAAAGGCAAGGAAACTTCAAAACTGCAACTAAGCCGGAGGGGAGGGGGGAAGGAGAGGAATGAGATCTCAGCTGCCATTTTGAATGCTGCCTGGCAACCCCTTAGATGCCAGCAGCATGGTGGGGCAGGCAAGATGGGAGGAAGTGGGGTTCAATCAAGGCAGAGATCCTCTTCCCTTTTGACTTTGAGTATGTGAAGTAGCTTTTCTGAGGGAAATCTCGGTTTCCAGGAACAGAAAAACAAAGGTCTCCCACTAAGCAGTAAAACCTAGTAATGTTTTTCTCTTCAAAGCTTCTCTCTTCAGGCAAAACCAATAGAAATGAATCAGGATATTGTGATGTCACTGTCAAGTTTTTGAAAGAGGCAGCAATTTGGGACACATTCTGAGAATCAATGAAGATTTTCCTGAATCTTTCAGATGTGATACAGTGGGTGGACAACTGGGCTAGGACCTGGGAGACCTAGGTTCACCATGGCTAGCTTGCTAGGTGACCTTGGGCCAGTCATTCACTCTTTGCTTAATCTACCTCGCAGGATTCTTGTGAGGATGAAGCACAGGAGGGGAGAAAGATGCCCCCAGCCACTCCCACTGGAGACAAAGGTGGGGTTAAAATTATCCAAATAAATGAGAGTTTTGTTTTCCCCAGAGGAGAAAAAATATGGTATTGGACTGTTCTACCATCATACTGATCCAATGATCACCAAAGAAGAGAGCTCGCTCTTTCTAATCTATCTACCAACCAACCCACCAACCCAACACAACGTACAGTGCATGTCAATGCGGTGCAGGTAAATGGACTTTAGAAGTAGAAATATTTTTACATCTCAAACGGTCTTTTGTCCAGGCCACGATGGCAAACCCCACTAAAAAAAAAAAGAAACACAAATGCCACCTCATTTTAGGACACCAAGCAAGGCCTACCTTGACTTTTGCTTGTAAGATTTAATGTGGTTGTACCACCTGAGGGCGTGGAACAGCTCCGGAGGAGGAGGAGGACTTCCAACGGCTTCAAACACTGCGACGTCAGCCTGGGACGGGACATACCTGTCAAACAGGGTAGATATTCAGCACGATAAAAAGGCACAGATATTGTGACATGCATTGTACTTTGCTTTCAGCACATCATTTAACAAAGAAGCTAGAAAGTTCCACATAAACCAGAGATTTCCTGTATTTTGTCTGCTTTTGAACTTGAATTGTAAGCTGCCTTGACCCACAAGGAAAGGGCAGGGTATAAAGCTTTTAATAATGCTGCCCACTGACACATCTTTAAGATAATCACTTGTACTGTTGGAGAGGTTTGAACACAGCCGTTCAACCATCTCCTCCAGCGTAAACACTGTAAAAACCCTTTCACCAGAACACGCTTCTCTGAAGCCAGCCTTACGATAGGCTTGAACAGAAACTGCTTATTCACTGAGCGGCTCCAGTTAGGCTCATAACTTCAAATCTAGCATCTCTGAGCTCTACAGCCATGACTCCATCACCCAGATCCAACAGCTTTAGAAGAAAACAGGGAAGCACAGATTCCTGTCCACTGTGAAGGATGTGCACCAAAGGGGTGTGGTTGAAGGAGGAGTCAGCAAACAGAAGCAGGCCACAAAAGTAACTGGTTATCAGCTACGTCCCACCACAAAAGAAAATTCGGGTCCAGTGGCACCCTTTAAGGCCAACGAAGTTTTATTCAAGATATAACCCTTTGTGTGCACGCACACTTCGTATCTGAACAAGTGCTCATGCACATTAAAGTTTATACTTTGAACAAAACTCTGTTGGTCTTAAAGGTGCCACTGGACTCGAATTTTGTTCAGCTGCTTCAGACCATGCTAAAGATGTGTTACCTCTTTCACTTTTGATGCAACAGAGTTCCACGGGTATTCCTCTGGTACTGTGACCTGGGATATTAATCAGAAAGGCTATAGTTCAAATCTCACCTTGGACATGAATTTATTAGGCAACCTTCACTATTACTATAAGTGGCCTTGAACCACGAGGAAAGGCCAGATATAAATGTTTTAATAAATAAATTTTAAGTAACTCTTTCGAGTCAATCTTCATATCATTCAGATAACGCAACTAATCTACTTTACCAGGCTGTAACACAGATTACAAGAATTTGTGTAGCACTTTGAACAACCACCTCTCTCTAAATTGGCTCCATACTGCTATCAGCCTATAGTATTTTAATTTATTTACTTCACTTGTACCCGGCCTTTCTCCCCTTTGTGGACACGGTTTACACCATTCTTCTCTGCTTTATTTTATCCTCACAACAACCCTGCAAGGTAGATCAAGATGGGTAGCCGTGTTTGTCTGTCGCAGTAGAAAAGAGCAAAAGACCAGTAGCCCCTTAAAGACTAATAATTTGTGGCAGGGTAGCAGCTTTCTTAAGTCACCGCTGAAAGGTATCTAAAGAAGTGAGCAGTGACTCATCACGAAAGCTCCTACCCTGCCACAAATTCTGCTAGGCTTTGAAATATTAAAACATCATACTAAAACCATAAAGACACAGTACAAGATGGCTTTTTAAGAATATGCTAATATCCTGGTTCTGTGCAATGTAATGAATATAAGGCCTGAGCTGTGGGTTCCCATGTTGTAAACTCAATCCAGCAGTATGAGCAGCTTCTTTATTTTAGCAGACAGGGACTGGCCCAAGATTACCTATGGAGATTCAATGACACAAGCAAGGATTTGAGCCTGTGTTTGCCACATCCCAGTCTGACACTCTTAACCACATTGGCTGTCTATATATCTCCCTGTCGGTAGCCACGTTGGTCTACAATAAAGCAACAGAAGGAAGTTTGAGTCTAGTGGCGCCTTGAAGACCAACAAGGGGTCAGGAAACAATTTTTCTCCAGGCCAGTTTGGCTGGGGATCCTGGAGGAATTTTTTTTTTGCTATCTCCTGGGCATAAAACAGGGGTCACTGGCAATGCTCCCTCTAAGCTGCGGAGTCTTGTGAGTGAAAGTTGTGAGTGATTTGGCCACTGCAGAAATTAGTGTGCTCTGGGGCCATCCTTCCTGAGACAGAAATGCGTGAGCCTGAGGCTAGAAAACTGTGAGCTAGAGGGAACACTGGTCACTGGGCGTGTGTGTGTGGAGAAGGTATTTGTGAATTTCCTGCATTGTGCAAGGGGTTGGACTAACTGACCTTGGAGCAGACCCATAACTATGGTGGGGTTATTGGGGGCTCCGCCTCCTTTCTTAAAGACACAGCCCCACAACAATTTCTCCTGTAAATGCTTTTAAAAAACATTTTTAAAGCAGAGGGGGGTGCTGTAATTGACTAATTCCTGCACTGAGCAAGGAGGTTGGAGAAGGTGACCTCTAGAAGCCCTTCTAATTCTGTGCCAAGAAACTGGTCTCCTTTAAGAGCTTTTCTGCCTAAGTGTTAGCTTTCTTGACTATAGAAGTCATCACCCCCACACGTCAGCCTGTTATAAGAACTGTTGCTTAGGCTAGCAGAAGTGATTTACTTGCAGCAGCTGAAAACTGTCCTCTACAGTGGTCAACAGCTTTCAGTTCAGAGATCTAACCTGGTATCAGCTTTCTATTGACTAAATGGCTCTTCTTTCTGTTTTTTAATTCAACGTTTAATTTTCAACTTTTTCAAAAACACAACAGCAATAGCTTTTCTTTCTTCACTGAGAACTTCAGCCCCACCAGAAAAAAATCTGCCCCACAAGCCACAAAACCCTGGCTACAGGCCTGCCCTGGAGATCCCTTCCAACTCTAAGGTTTTATTCTGGGTATAAACTTTTGTATGCACACACACTTCTTGTGCATGCACACGGAAACTTACCCCCAGAATTAAACTGTGTTGCTCTTCAAGCTGCCCCTGGACTCGAACGCTGTCCTAGGTAGCTCCCTGAGTTGTTTGATTAGACGCTTTTGCAGCCTGGCAGAACCGAACAGGTTCCCCAGTCATGCCTGCCACGTTCCCCAGCGCTCCCTACCCCGCACGGCGCTGGATGGATGGGGATTGAATGAGGCCTAGGCAGCGACCCTCCCCCCCTCGCCCTTCCCCGCGCCTCGGAGCGCGAACTTTACGCAGGCGGACTCGGAAGTCAGGCCAAGCCGGGCCTGCTATTCCCACAAGAGCCTTCCCCGCCACTCCTCCTACCAGCTCACCCACCCCTCGATGTAGCTCTTGTCCGCTAAGAAGTCGTTCAAGATCTTCAGCCCTGCGGAGGATTTCAGGTCCCCGAAGCCCATGGCGGTGCCGGTGTAGTCGGGAAAAGGGCCGCGGCGAGAGAGACAAAAGGAACACCGCCGAGAGGCCGCACGAAAAAGAACGCGCGCTTTGCCGGCATGCCTTATATATAGGCAAAGGGGTCTGGGATCCCTCCGCTTCAAGTTGCGAAACGGTATCCTTCCGCCGGATAGTGCGAAATCCCCCCCTCCCTTCCGAACCTGACTAAACGGTTTAAAAGTCGGAGGATACAAGTATGTTCCAAAAAAAAAAAAAGTGGGTGTGGGGAAATAGGCGGCTGTCTCTAAGAGCCTACATTTTAAAAGGTAGGAAATTAGCGGTCTACTGCGCGTGTCTCGCGGCCTCGCGCAGAACAGCCGAAAACGGATACGCTGGACACGGAAATTACCGAGGCTACCGCCGCGTTGTTTTTCCCCCCACCCAAAGGTCGTCGAGCGCTTCACGGAAATTACCGAGGCTGGTGCCCCGACCGTCGCTTTCGGAGACGAAGGGAGCCGAGCGCGGCACGGAAATTGCCGAAGCTGTCGCCATATTCTCGGCGAGGGAGTGCGTTCGTGGGCGAAGGCGGCTTGGTCGCTAGGGCCGGAGGGCCCCCCCCAAACCGGGGCTGAGGAGGTAATGCGAAGGGGAGAGGGGCACCCCGCTCCTCGCCACAGAGGGGGTGGGCGAGGGACGTCTAGAGTGGCCGGGTGGGGGGCCCAGGAGGCGACGTCCTTGACAGGGGTCGGGGGGTTGCGTCGCTCCCCTCCAGTGTCTGCAGTTGGGGAGGACAGAGAAGCCCCCCTCCCTTATGCTTTTGCATAGAGACACCAAAGAATCTTTGTGGCCCCCCTGAAAGGCTGCCAAGCTTGCTAATGCAGACCTACTCCAGTGTAAATCCGTGGATTGCAGCATGCTTTAGGCTCTGTGCATAGGGCTGCCCTGTTAGCCGTAGGGGGCTGAAACCCCCCGCATCAGAGTCAGGGAGTCCTCCAAAGCAGCCTTGTTTCCTCCTCTCTCTCTGCAACCCTGAAGTGTGGCAGCGTCGGCTAGTAGGCGATGGAGACCTTCCTATGCAAAGTCACAGTGGACATGCAAGGGAGCGATTCCCGTCGGTGAATAATATCTGCTGCGATTCTCCCCTTTGGCTGTGCTTACTTGCAGACCTGTGGCGTGGAAAGAAACTGGCGGTTCTGATTAAGCCCAAACCGAATATGAACAAGTGTGCTGGCGAAGTCTGGTCCAGCTATTTCCCGCTGGAGCTTCACTTCGAAGTGTTTGTTTTTGTCGCTGCCATATTGTTATTTTGAGGTCCCCAGCCCGAGGCCTGGGAGACTGACAGTGCAATCCTATGCAGAGATACTCCAGTAGTTGTCTTGGTCCGAAGCAGCAGAACAGAATTTGAGTCCAGGTGGCACCTTTAAGACCAACAAAGTTTTATTCAAGATATAAGCTTTTATGTGCATGCACACTTCTTAAGATACGATGAAGTGGCATTTACCCGCCCATACATATAGGTAGAGGGTGAGCATTAGCATACAGCAGAATGGAGATGTTTAACAGATTCAAGGACCGAACAGGAATAATAAGCTTAGTTTATATGGTTACCATTTGTTTGGGTTTAATTTTCTTGGGGTACCATTCTGGCGTTGTTAATCTGTTTTTTGACTTCATCAGGTGGGTACTACAGTCAGGTTGAGGTGAAAGTCATTGAACGCCTGGTGGAATATGACCAGGGCTTCTTTACCATGTGTCCAGACCCTGTGGGGGTTTCAAGGCAAGAGACGTTCAGAGGTGGCTGTCCATCGCCTGCCTCTACACAGCAACCCTGGGCTTCCGTGGTGGTCTCCCATCCAAATACTAGCCAGAGCCAACCTTGCTTAGCTTCTGAGACTTAGAATCATAGAATGTTAGAGTTGGAAGGGACCTTGCAGGTCATCCAGTCCAACCCCCTGCACTCTGCAGGAGCATAGCCGAAAGATAGCCCTACAGCATACCCGAAAGATGTCTGTTGATGAGATCGGGGTAGCTTGGGCCATCCAGGGGAGGGCATATAGAGTTTACTGATAGGTTTCTAGGACTAAGGCAGTGTTGAAGCCTACTTGGGATGTATTCCTCACTCACTCCCCCCCCAGTTCCGTCCCTTTGTAGTTAGTGCCTTAGCGTGCATTTCTGACCAAGAAGGTTGTTGTGGCTATGCCATGTGTTCTGGCAGTAAGGAAGGATACAGATGATTCGGCAAGCAACATTTATTTATTAAGATGTGTATTCACCGCCTTTCCCTCTACAGTAGGTCTTAAATGGTTCACAGAAGTATGCTGAAATGTATACACCCCAGGAACAAAACATCGTAACAGAAATCCATACCTGTATTCAATACAAACAACAGCCAAAGCCTCCCCCCCCCCGAATAGTTCGGTCTTGCGTGCTCCCCTAAAAAGCAGACAGAGAAGGGACAGGTCTTGCCTAATGGCGGCCTGTTCCAAAGAGGTGAAGCAGCTATTGAAAACCCCACTTGAAGTGGCTGCCCCAGGTTGTGTTTCCTTACAAGAGGTAATAGAAAGTGTGAACTGCTGGGAGAAAGAGAGTTAGTATGGAGGCTCATGCAGGGAGAGGGTGTCCTTCAGGCTAGGAAAAGAACATTCAAGGCCTAGGAAAAATAACATTTTAAGCCATCTGTTTCCAACTGTGAGAACAGAGGTTATTTTTCTGACATTGAGAATAGACCACACTGATTTTTCTGAAGTGCTGGAACCGTGTCTAGATAAGCCTTGCAGAACTACAATCCTCTTCGGTGAGCGTACTCAGAACAGAATGTGAGAAGGATCATCTTCCCATATCTTATGAAGGGGAAACATATGAGAGCTATTCCCAGTATGAAGTGGAAGAAATAGAAAAAATATATGTAAAAGTAAAATAACTTTAAAGAGTGTGGAACAGGAGCAAATAAGTTAATTTGGAAATACAGGCAGATGGACATAAGTGGACATTCATAGGTGTGATGTGTTTAATCGTTGGAAAGCAGCCTAAAATGTGCTCGTGCGTGTGTGCTCATGTTCTAATCCCACAAGTACTTGTGAGCTTTTTTGATACTGACCTATACCGAGCAAGGGATGAGCTACTCCTGAAGCAGAAGTAAGGTGAGATGTGTTAGGACAGTAGTGCTTGTGGAATACACATTCCTTCTAGGTTATGTCCAGCTTTTTACTATCTAGGATAGACATGTTTGCAGTTGTCACCTGTTTCACTTTGTGATGGGTTAGAATAAATAAGACAAGCAACATTTAAAGACAGCATGTTGCACCACTTCTGGGGGGTTTTGTGCGTTTTTGTTTTGCCATCCAAACATTACACCTCTTGGCTTTACTCTCTTTCCAGCCTGAAACACGCGAAGAAGGTGCTATCTTTATACGTAGCACTTCTGGCTGTTTCTGAATTTCAGTTTTTGTTTTCCCAAGTGACCGATATGGAGACGTCCAGATGAATGTGCTGTGGTCAGACTGCTGATCCATCTGGCGCGATCGAGCTCTGCGTTGATTCCCAGAGTCTCAAGTGGAGAAGAAAGTTCTTTCCCAACACTAGCAACCCGAGATCCTTGGCTAATGTCAGGGACGAAAACAGGAGCCTTCTGCATGCAAAGCATGTAGCCTTTCCTCCAAAGAGCGAGCACCCTTCCCAACTTCTTGGTCGAGGCAATACACATGCCAGAGATTTCTCTTTTCTTGGGGGGGGGGGAGTTTGGTGTGTGTGTGTGTGTACTTGCATGGAACTTCTGGTGACCAGTGTTCCCTCTAAGCTGAGTTACCGTGAGCTAGCTCACAGGTTTTTAGCCTCTAGTTCACACATTTTTGCCTTAGCTCAGGAAGGATGGCTTCAGAGCAAAATAATTTATGCAGCAGGCAAATCGCTCGCTCACAACTTTAATGCCAGTAGCTCACAAAGTAGAATTTTTGCTCACAAGACTCCACGGCTTAGAGGGAGCATTGCTGGTGACCCCTAGTGGGGTTTGGATGCTTGATAACCTGCCTCTGCATCCCGAGGCCTCGTATTCCTTGGAGGTCTCCCTTCCAGTTGCTTGCGAGGGTCAGCCCTGCTTAGCTTCTGAGATAGCTGTCCAGAACAGGGCCACATGCCATGAATTTCTGAACTCTTAGCATGGTTGCTTGCCCTGACCTGGATAGCCCAGGCTATCCCGATCTTGTCAGATCTTGGAAGCTAAGCAGGGTCAGCCCTGGTTAGTACTTGGATGGGAGACCACCAAGGAATGTCAGGGTTGTGACGTGGAGGAAGGCAATGTCAAACCACCTCTGAAAGTTTCTTGCCTTGAAAACCCCCACAGGGTCGCCATACGTCAGCTGTGACTTAAGAACATACGAGAAGCCATGTTGGATCAGGCCAATGGCCCATCCGGTCCAACACTCTTTGTCACACAGTGGCCAAAACTTAGGTGCCCTCAGGAGGTCTCCTAGCAGGGCCAGGACTTGACATCAATTTCTACCTCCATCAGCTTGGTTGCTTAGCCACTACGCCAGCTCTTGTTGAAAATCAGTGTGGGTCCCTACTGTTGTGAGAGAGCTCAGCTGCCACGGAGTCCAGTTCTCATACGTTGCTAGTGGAAAGTGATACGTACTTTGGTTGTGTAGAGGCAAATCTGGTTTGCTGTGTGCTTTTCACTTCAGATTCGCAGGATGTATTTCTGTTTTATATTTCCAGTGACTTTATTTTTTATTCGTTTTCTTAAATTTCTACCCCGCCCTCCGAACCAAGGCCGGCTTTAAGCGAGAGACCTGCAGTATCTCTCAATGCACAATGCTTGTATTATGCAGAGAACTGTTTTTACAAAATAAAACTGAGTATTTTTGATTTGGTAAAGCAATTGTTTAAGAATAGGTGGGGTTCCAACATTGAACAGTGTGTGTGAAAGACAGCCAGAAAGGCAGACATGTTTAATTACATCTTACAATTGTTTCGTATAGTTGGTGTTAAAAATACGGTCATTCAGTTCTTTCCTTTTGTTTTGTTTTTTGATTTAAATTGTCTTCATTGTCTATATCTATATTTTATATGTCTGAAATTGTTGATACATTTCTGATATTGGGTTGCGATCTGCCCTGAGCCCACTCGCGAGGAGGGCAGAATATAAATTTGAATTATAAATCATAATTATATAAATGCTCTTGTAGCTTAAATTCTCTTCTGTTTATTTGCAGCACCATGCTGCGATTACCTGCTGTCCGCAAGTGCCTGAATGGTGTCACTCAGACAACTAAAGGATGTGGTAAGTTGTTCTATTCAGAACGTTCTTTTTTGTAGAGGTAGTCATAAGGAAGGCCGAGCGCCGAAGAATAGATTCTTTTGAACTATGGTGCTGGAGAAGACTCTTGAGAGTCCCTTGGACTGCAAGAAGATCAAATCAGTCAATCCTAAAAGAAATCAACCCTGACTGTTCCCTGGAAGGATAATGAAACTGAAGCTCAAATACTGTGGCCACCAAATGAGAAGGGAGCACTCACTGGAGAAGATCCTGATGCTGGGAAAGATTGAAGGTCAAAGAAGACGGGGACAGCAAAGGATGAGATGGTTAGACAGTGTCATCGATGCAACGAACATGAAATTGAGCCAACTTCAGAGGACGGCGGAAGACAGGAGGGCCTGGCGGGATCTGGTCCATGGAGTCGCAAAGAGTCGGACTCGACTGTGCAACTGAACAACAACAAGAAGTCATCACCAATGCTCCCTCTAAGCTGTGGATTCTTGTGAGCAAAAATTCGACTTTGTGAGCTACTGGCATTAAAGTTGTGAGCGAGTGATTTGGCTACTGCATAAATTAGTTTGCTCTGGAGCCAACCTTCCTGAGCGAAGACAAAAATTTGTGAGCTGGAGGCTAAAAAACTGAGCTAGCTCACACTAACTCAGCTTAGAGGGAACACTGGTCATCACTTAGTGCATTTGGTTAGTCATGAGAATTGTATGGGTGGCAATAGATAGTGGATATCCAAAACAGCATAGGATTAGGAACTAATTGTAAGGTCGGCATTTGTTATTGAGAGTTAACCTTGGTCAGAAACCAGAAAAACCCCCATTGATGAGTGCTGCTAGGCACATTTTGGGAAGTAGCTCTCGTGGGCTTCTCTTAGGGACTGTATTGAAGTCTGTGTTAGGTTCATATTTCAGATAAAAAGAAGAAAAATTCCATCAGGCACTTGCCTGATTCTGATAACTGGAGCTACTTTTTGAGTGGCATATAACAAAGACAAATCCTTTTAGTTCTGATAACTGGAGCTACTTTTTGAGTGGCGTATAACACAAAGTCGGCAAAACAGTAACAGAAGTCATCAAACGGCACAAGTTGAATGACCAGACTTCATAAAGTGGCAGTTCCATATAACTTTCTTCATTTATTGTACACGTTTCTCACTGAGACTCAAGGTAGATTCCAAAATTTAGCAGTGAAGCAGTATAAGATAAAGATTGTACTAAGATTGGTCTGCACAATTAGGTAAAGCAGTAAAGCAGTACAAGACATAGTTTAAATGCACAAACTAGATTACAGAAATTAGAAAACGGTGTGGTAAATGCATACAATAAATAGTGCCATGAGCTGCATACAGCCCTTTAGCACTCACCAAAAATCTGTGATTTCATTTTCCCCCCACATACGTGATATAAATAGAAGTCATAAATGATGCCGTCCTGGGGGAGACATAAAATGTTTCTCTGTGCTTTTTAAAAGACTTAATTTGGTATCTTGAATGACAATGCCATTATCTGTAGAATTATTCCATTTGTGTGTGTGTGAGTGTGTGTGTGTGTGAAGTGCTGTCAAGTTGCTTCCCACTTACGTTGACCCTATGAATTAATGTCCTTCAAAACGTCCTGTCATTAACAGTCTTGCTCAGGTCTTTCAAACTGAGGGCCCTTGTGGCTTCCTTTATAGAGTCAATCCATCTCATGTTGGGTCTTCCTCTTTTCCGGCTGTCTTCAACCTTTCTATGCATTATTGTCTTCTCATAATGTGACCAAAGTACGATAGCCTCAGTTTAGTCATTTTAGTTTATAGGGAGAGTTCAGGCTTAGATTTGATCTAGAACACACTGATTTGTCTTTTTGGTGGCCCACTGTTGTCCATAAAATTCTCCTCCAACATCACATTTCAAAAGAATCCACTTTCTTCGTGTCAGCTTCCTTCACTGTCCAGCTCTCACACCCATATATAGTAATAGGGAATACTGTGTCATGAATGAACTTGATTCCATTGTAAGCTGAGTGAAATCAGAGCGGTTACACTGGAATAACTCTGCATAGACTGTGTTGTAAAGCAGCAAAAAGACTCCATTTGCTCCTAGTAAAGGTTTCCCTTGCTCGAAAGCTAGTCGAATCCGACTCCAGGGGGCGGTGCTCATCTCCGTTTCCAAGCCGAAGAGCCAGCGCTGTCTGAAGACGTTTCCGTGGTCATGAAGGTGTAAAATATTTCTGTCCCTTTGCTCTTTTTCAGCAGTGATACGACTGGCCGTTCACGGTCAAACGAGGCAGCTTCAGCTGTTCATTAATTTGGGCCAGTGAATCTGAAATATCTGTGCTGGCTTTGAGAAATAAAATATATTTTGTGTTTCTCATTTTCTTAGTGCGCACAACAGCAACAGCAGCCAGCAACCTTATAGAGGTTTTTGTCGATGGGCAACCCCTTATGGTACCTCCAGGAACCACGGTGCTTCAGGTAGAATGACCCCTGGGTCTACGTCCTTCTGCATTCCACTCAGACTTTCACAGTAGTAGTATCTTTGCATTCTCTTAGATATTAAAAAATGTCTTCTCTTGCTGTAGATTTTCAGCAGCTCCATTAGGAAACTGGATAAGAAGAAACAGTTTTGTATATGACTTTGTTAGTCTGTAGTAGCCAAATAAAACAGGAGTCCTGTGGCACTTTGAGGACTAACAAAATTTATTCTAATCTAGTATAAGCTTTGTGATGAAGTGAGCTCTTGACTCAGGAAAGGTTATCCTGGAATAAATGTTGTTATTCTTTAAAATGCTAATCAATTCCTGTTCTGTTTTGCTTTATAAGTATGATAAGAACATAAGAAGAGCCCTGCTGGATCAGACCAGTGAGGGTCCATCTAGTCCAGCATCCTGTCTCACATAGTGGCCAACTAGATCCTCTGGAGGTCCAACAACAGGGCATGGAGGCTGAGACCTTCCCCTGGTTTTGCCTACCAGCACTGGGATTCAGAGAATGTCTGAACATGAAGGTTCCCCTCAATCACCATGGCTGGTAGCCACTGATAAACCGATATTCCATTAATCTATTCAATCCCTTTTTAAAGCTGTCTATTCCTGTGGCCATCACTACATCTTCTGGCAGCAAATTCCCCATTTTAATCACTCTCTGTGATTTCCCCATCTCAGATTATTAGCTGAAAGTGAATGCTGAACCACAACCCTGTGGAACTGAACTACTGTGCGTCTTCAGACTCATAGAATCATAGAGTTGGAAGGGATCTCCAGGGTCATCTAGTCCAACCCCCTGCACAGTGCAGGGAATTCACAAATACCTCCCCCCACACACCCCCAGTGACCCCTGTTCCATGCCCCAAAACAGTTGTATTATTATTCCTGCACTCCCCCCCCCCATCCCTTTTCTACCTGGTATCTTATTGAGGTAGTTGGAAGAGATCTCTAAACAGAAACAGTATTTACCAAAATGCAGGACTAGGTTTTCCTCCAGACATGCCATCCAAAATGAAAAAGAAAAAAAATGAGTCATCTTCAGTTTGCATATAAGCTACCGTTATGTCAACTAATTTGAAAATAAATTGTGTGTAATTTTTTGGGGAGGGGTCATCTTACATTCAGGTGTGTCTTCCTTTGGAGTAAATATGATGTTTAAGTAAAGAAGGCACATCATCTTTCCTTCTCTGGTGGAATTGCTGATGACCCAGAAGACTGCATTTGCAGTACTTCTCTTGTTCTGCGCCTGAAGGGAGAGAAATTTCACCAGCCCACCACTGTTGAAATAAACCATGGCTTCATGTTACGTCTGAACCGACTCCTATATTAAAGTGAGCCAAGAGTTCATAGAACGCCACTGTATAAAAAACCCCGTGTTACTTCACATTTATGTTTCATAGCATTGTTTAGCCAGAAGTATTGGTATAGGAACAACAGGTCATCAGAGGTCACAAGCAAGAGAAGCCTGGTAGCAGTGTGCAAGTTATTTCTATGATGTATGTTTGAATGCTCTCCTATGTCAATCTTAAATTTCTGAAGGGAGGACCAAATTGGCAAGCCCCTTTTAGTTTCCACAGGGATCATTTCAATCCCTTTGATGCTTCCTGTAATATTCCCTCAAAGCATACTGGAGTTTTCCTCCTACAGGTCTCTTTACTGCCACTGATGAACTTTCCTAACCCATGCTTTTGGGTGTTTTGAAAAAAGTAATCACATGTCTTTCCCTCTCCTCTTAGGCTTGTGAAAAGGTTGGGATGCAGATTCCTCGTTTTTGCTACCATGACAGACTGTCTGTGGCCGGAAATTGTAGGATGTGTCTTGTGGAGATAGAGAAGGCACCCAAGGTCAGTATTACATTTTTGCTAAAATCTGTGGTGTTCCGGAAGCTTGCAGAACTTTGCAGAACACGTAGGTTGTGTTTCGGTTATAATGTGTCTGCAGCGAACTGCAGCTTTTTGACATTATTCTAAATATGTTTGTTTACAGTGCAGTTGTCAAGCTTAATTGATCTCTTAGAAATGCTTGATATACCTTCCCAGAAATTCTCTCTCGCTTGAACTAGACACAGAAATGGAGCTGTAATGTTGTGTGGTCTTAAATGCTGGCTTTTCTTCAGAAAGTAACTGCTAATTTGCGTTGTATTGGGCCTGTTGAAGTCAGATGAAAGTTTTGTTGGTTTCACCTGGTTATAGTAAAGAACAGTGGAAAGAATGTACATGAATTTAATCACATGTGCAACTTTTGCTATGAACTGAAGGTTGGGTAGTGAATGTTATGAAGATACATGGAGATGTCATCACTGAATTTGCATCTTTCTAATGGATTTTGTAGCCGGTAGCTGCTTGTGCCATGCCCGTGATGAAGGGCTGGAATATCCTGACAAATTCCGAGAAGTCCCGGAAAGCGAGGTAAGCTGTGTATGTTTTTGTACAACTTACTTTCCCGACGTTGGAATAATGGGCTTGTGGCTGGGTGTGCATCAAAACAAAGTGCCTTTATTAAAATAATAATAATAATTGTAATGAAAGAATACCCAGAATGAGACTTTATTAGTGCCTTTATTAACGCTGGTCTCAGACTTTGTTCTGCTGCTTCAGACCAACACGGCTGCCCCCACTTGAATTAATTTTAATAAGTTGCCTTAATAGTTGAAGGAGCTGCGGTGGCTCAAGTGGTTAAGACGCTGAACTGCAGGCTGTGGAAGGTCAGTAGCTCAGCAGTTCGAGACCCGGGTGTGCCGCATGATGGAGTGAGCTCCCATCTCTAGTTCCAGCTCCTGCCAACCTAGCAGTTCGAAAGCAAGAAATTGCAAGTAGATAAATAGGTACCACTTTGGTGGGAAGGTAAGAGCGTTCTGTGCGCCTTGGTGTTTAGTCATGCCGGCCACATGACCACGGAAACGTCTTCGGACAGCGCTGGCTCTTCAGCTTTGAAACGGAGATGAGCACCGCAACCCTAGAGTTGGATTCAACTGGCTTTTGAGCAAGGGAACCTTTTAATAGTTGAACTCATTTTTCTAAATGGGTAGAATGTGGAAAATACGGTGGAAATATAAAACAAATTAACTTCTTCTGTGTATCAGTAATATCACAGGCAATCGACTTGCACTGTACTAATTGATTCATAAAGTTACTTGGAAAAATGATCAGGGACTGTGGTGTATTATACCACTGTGTATAGCTTGTTTAAGCTAGGATCCTATGGTGGAATTGTGCATCATTTAACTTGATACGTTAACACTTAGTGTGTTGCTTCAGTTCTGTTTTTAGACTTCTGGTTGGTTCTGCAACCCTAATCCTGTTGCACTATTTATTGAATGTCCCATCTGTTAATTGTATTGACTCACTCTGTGTAATCCACCTTGAGTCCCAGTGAGAAAGGTGAACTATAAATAATGTCAATAAATAAATATAAACAATGATTCTCATTTTTTACTGACTGATTCCCGACAGAGAGGGTGTCATGGAATTCCTGCTTCTGCTGGCCAACCATCCACTGGACTGTCCTATCTGTGATCAAGGAGGGGAGTGTGACCTCCAGGTATAACTTCTAGGAGACCTTTTTTTGATATTACCTTGAGTGAAACGCTGCTTCTTCAAGAGGTATGTTCCTTTCATTTCTGTCTGTCCTTAGGATCAGTCAATGATGTTTGGCAGTGATAGGAGCAGATTCCTGGAAGGAAAACGTGCCGTTGAAGACAAGAACCTCGGTCCGCTAGTGAAAACTATCATGACCCGGTGCATACAATGCACCCGATGCATCAGGTAGCTGGTGTCCCATTGTCCTTGTCACCAGAATGTAATATATGTTGATGTTGTAAGTAGAGGGAAATGTCATCTAATCTGTAGCCTGCATTCAGGTGTTTTTGAATGATCCTTCTATGATGTGATGGAACAGGCCTGCTTTGATTTGCAGACCCTGCCCTGCCCAAGCCTCCTTGGTGTTGCCAACTCTTGGAGGGGGTTACTTCTTTCTTCCACTTGGGTAACTCACTGCCACCACCTGCCCTCCTTGGGGTGGGTGGGGTAGCTTCCTGCTAGGAGGGCCAGGGCTCCTAGCTTCCCTTCCCTACTGGATTCTGTTTGGAGTTTGTAACAAGAATCTGTGAAGGTGTAATGGTTAAGTGTGCCAGTTCGGTGTAGTGGTTAAGTGTGCGGACTCTAATCTAGGAGAACCAGATTTGATTCCCCAATCCTCCACTTGCAGCTGCTGGATGACCTTGGACAAGCCATAGTTCTGACAAGAGCTGTCCTTGAAAGAGCAGTCCTCAAAAGAGCTCTCTCAGCCCTGTCTACCTCACAGGGTGTCTGTTGTGGGGAGAGGAAGGAGTTTGTAAACTGCTCTGAGACTTCGAGTTGAAGGGCGGGGTATAAATCCAATCTCCTCCTCCTCCTGCTTCTTCTTTTCATATAGAGGTGAAGTGGCTGTTATGTGATATAAATCATGTAGGTGCAAAAAAAGAATATGAAATCAAAAGGAAACTGTAGTCTTTCAAACAAAATAACTGCATACTTTTAGTAAGCAGTGCAAGATTTAATGGCTTTGTTCAGACTGAATGAAAAACAGAGGTTAATTTTTTGAAACCAGGTTCCCTCTCACAAACTGTGATTCAAACCTTGGTTTGCTTGGTGAATGCAATGTTCATTCCCTTTGGGGTATTTCTTACGCCTCTTTTGCAGAGACCTGGCTACCATTGCAGTGAGGGAAGCGCCAGGAACCAAATCAGAATTAAGATAGAATGTCCACATTTGTACAGTACACAGAGCCACAGGACTAGCTGTCATAGTCTAATGTACCTGAACAGTTTCTGTAGCAGAGCAAAGTTTTAGTCCAGTGGCACCTTTAAGACCCACAAAGTTTTATTCCAGGTCTAAGAGCTTTTTGTGTGCATGCACCCTTTTTCAGGTGTAGTAACCTGTGTTTTGGCGTCACACGGATCCAGATCCTTTATTTAAACTGAGGTTCCATGTGACAGCTGAATCAAGCCAGTGTCTGGACTACCTGTTAGCACCTGAGGATCAGCTGGTGTGGGGCAACTAATTTAACAAGTATTTTACATATAGTGGAAACTTCATTTTGTTGGCTCTGTTGTTTTAATCTTCTTGTTCAGTGAATCAGAGTAGATAGCCAGATAGTGGCTTTCCGAGGGAATCTTTTATAAGAACCGAAACGATGTAAAGACGGTTTCAGAGGGTAACTGTGTTGGTCTGCAGTGGAGCAGCTAGATTTGAGTCCCGAAGCATCTTAGAGAACAACAGGAATGAGCTTTGGGACTCTTAAGAGCTCATACCCGAAAAATCTTGTTGGTCTCTAACTAGATTCTGGATTCAAATCCATGTAAAACTGAGTGGGTCTACTTACGAGCTGTTGGAATTGCTTTCCATTCCAGCAGTGAACCTGACCAATGCATCAGGGCTTTCTTATACACTGTCTTTTATACATGCCGTCAAAATTTTCTTCTTAGAAGAAACAACATCTTCAGGGGGTTGGGGGGGGGAGAATAATGAGCTTAAATGGTACGTAACGTGTTACCCATCTCTGCCTTCACTAGGTTTGCGAGTGAGATTGCGGGAGTCGACGATCTAGGAACGACAGGAAGGGGAAATGAGATGCAAGTTGGTACTTACATTGAAAAAATGTTCATGTCTGAATTATCCGGCAACATAATCGATATCTGCCCAGTAGGCGCCCTGACATCTAAGCCCTATGCTTTTACTGCTCGTCCCTGGGAGACCAGGTATGTATTCAGAAGTGTCACTTCAAATGTCAATAGCAAATATTATTTGCTGTACTCAAGAGATGAAGATTCAGATGTGCAGGTCTATGCATCAAGAACTTTGTAAGCCTTGAACCCCTTTTTGGAGTTGATGGTGGGGGCAAAATGGGAAGAGTTGATTGGGTGTGGCGTGTGCTTTGTAACAGTGAGTCTGTTAGCAGTCCTCTGAGCAGCTGTCAGAGTACAGATAGGAACTCCAGGTCAGGTGATGCTCTGCATTCTTGGTGCTTGGGGGGGGGGGGGCAACAGTGGGAGGGCTTCTAGTGTCCTGGCCCCACTGGTGGACCTCCTGATGGCACCTGGTATTTTTGGCCACTGTGTGACAGAATGTCGGGCTGGATGGGCCATTGGCCTGACCCAACGTTGGCTTCTCTTATGTTCTTATGTCAGTTTCAGCCTTCAGTTGCTGATGGCTGTTTTGTGGTATATCGAAAAATAAACACAGCACCATACACACACAACTTAAGTTGCTGGAAACATGGAGGCATTTGGTAGCTTTTAGTTAGGATGTCTCAGGTCTTCAGAAACATACATGCCTTGGGCTTTCTGCCTTTCCCTTAGGAAGACGGAGTCCATTGATGTTCTTGACGCAGTCGGGAGTAATATTGTCGTGAGTACCAGAACTGGAGAGGTAATGAGGATTTTGCCCAGATTGCATGAAGATATCAATGAGGAATGGATATCTGATAAAACAAGGTACCTGTGTGTAAATTGATACGTTCTCAAGTGAACTTGGGTGGCGTACAAAAGATAGAAGTTGCAGTACCTCCTGAAGTTTTGTGCTTGAAGGTTTTGAATCTGCTCACTATTTATAAACTGATGTTGACATTTTTTGTGGATGCAGAGAGATGGTTAAAGCAGAGAACTTCAGTCTACTTTATCCAGAGAAAGATCTTGAAATCATTGGTTTTGAAGTATGCATCGTGTTCAGGAGGACTGTGTCTTAACAGTTACTTTAAATTTGGTACAAAAAGCCAGAACATTGCAGGTTATCTACTTAACAGAGTTACTAATATGTCAGCTTCTGTGTCATTTACCCTAGGACTGCTGGTTGTATCGGCACAGTATCCTGTAAGCATAAACTTGTCATGATAAAAAACAAATAATTGAAACGAGTTGACTGTCCATGAGATTCATAGGAGAAGGAATTCCTCACACTGGCCCCACTTTCTCGCCATTCCCAGTCTTTTTTTCCACTCCCTCCCAGCCCGTTCTTGACCCACCCACGCCACTGCCCCCCCCCCAGCCTGCAGCCATGCAGGGATTTTTTTACACCTAGGCTCAAGTGTTGGGCATCCTCACTGTGCCAGCTAAAAATCCCTTCTGTACATAGCCCCAGCATATGGATTTTTTGATCCTCCCTCTAAAGACCATTGTTGAGAATAAGAGCTCCTCGTGATTATTTTGCAGCTGATGAAGTGTGTCCTGGCTCTTGAAATCTAATACCACTGTACATCCCTTAGTCTTTAAAATGCCAGAGGACTATTATTATTTTTTTGGCTGCCATGGGTTATCTTAAAGTAATATCAGTTATTTCCCAGAAGGATGGGCCATGGCTCAGCGGTAGAGCATCTGCTTGGCAGGCAGAAGGTCCCAGGTTCAATCCCTGGCATCTCCAGATAAAGAACCTGGCAGTAGATGATGTGAAAGCTCTCTTTGTTGCTCTCTTGAAGTATTTGAAGGGCTGTCATTTATAGGAGGGCAGGGGGCTGTTCCTTTTGGCAGCAGAGGAGAGGACTCACAATCTTGGGTTTAAATTAAGGGCGGGGAGGTACCAGCTGGAATTTAGGAAAACCTTTTTGACAGTCAAGAGTTGTGCAACAGTGGAATCAGCTGCCTGGGGCGGTGGTGAGCTCCCCCTCTCTGGCAGTCTTTAAGCAGCGGCTGGACAGACACTTGTCAGGGATGCTCTTGGCTGATCCTGCATTGCGCAGATGGCCTGTATGGCCCCTTCCAAATCTGTGATTCTATGAAACACTTCCGCGTAAGACCCCAGAGACCCGCTGCCAGTCTAATCGGACAATATTCACCTTGAGAGACCAAAAGTTCGATTCAGTGTAAGGCAGCTTTCATGTGTGTGATAGCTATGTTAAAAGTATCCCTGTTTCTGAGAGGACAGTATGCTTAAATAGCTGCGAATGAATCAGTAGATAATGGATTGGTTAGTCCTTCAGCTGTGGTTTAGCTTGATCTGAACTTTGCAGATTTGCTTATGATGGTCTGAAACGTCAGCGCCTCATTGAGCCAATGGTCAGGAATGAAGAAGGCCTGTTCACCTCCGTGTCGTGGGAGGATGCCTTGACGTGTGTGGCAGGAGCGGTAAGAGCATTTGCTTCTAACAGTTTGGCTGTGGAGCTCCGCTGATTAGTTGGACGGACTTCTTACAGCACGTCTGATCTGAACCCTGTGAAATCAAACTGCAAGTAGCACCAGTAGCCAATTAATGGTTCCTCTAAGCTGAGTGTGTGTGAGCTAGCTCACAGTTTTTAAGCCTCCGGCTCACACAATTTTGTCTTAGCTCAGGAAGGATGGCTCCAGAGCAAACTAGTATATGCAGCAGCCAAATCGCTCACTCACAACTTGAATGCCAGTGGCTCACCAAGCAGAATTTTTGCTCACAAGGCTCCACAGCTTAGAGGGAGCATCGGAAGGATGCTGAAATTAAATAGCTTTCCTTGTTTTAGAACTTGTTGACTACTTTTTTTTGTTTTTCCCTATCCACGCTAGCATGTGGATTTACAAAGCTGCTGCTACGATACTACACCACTGTTTTGCAATAAGAACAATGTTGTTGTCTGTGTATGTGTGTGTTTTGTCTTGTGAAGGATCAGGGGCTGGATGCCACAAACCTATTCTGTCAGGAAAGACATACTTCCACTAGTGGAACAGATTTCCAGCATCAGGCTCAGGATTATTTGTTTATGTATTTGCTAAAGGCAAGATGATACACGACCTGTGTTTTACCAGCAGACCTGTTTCACCTCACGGATTCTTGTGTTTCGTCCTTAAAGCTTCAAGGTTCCCAGGGTAACGAAGTCGCTGCCATTGCAGGAGGCCTGGTGGACGCAGAAGCGCTTGTCGCTCTCAAAGACTTGCTGAACAGAGTGAACTCTGACAACCTGTGCACTGAAGAAGTGTTCCCTACTGCAGGAGCTGGGTAAGATAATGCCAACAGATGATTTTAATGAGGGATTGAGAGCACATACTAGGGTTAAGCTTTGTGAGCTAATATTAATTTTAAATTTTTTTGCCGTCAAGTCACAGCTGACTTCTGGCGACCCCTAGTGGGGTCCTCAGGGCAAGTGACGCTCAGAGGTGGCTTGCCATTGCCTGCCTCTGCGTCACGACTCTGGTCTTCCTTGGAGGTCTCCCACCCAAACACTAGCCAGAGTCGACCCTGCTTAGCTTCTGAGATCTGATGTGATCGGGCGATCCAAGTCAGGGCGAATACCATCATGGAAAAACTAGACATATTGCGTTTTGGTTTTTGCTAGAGAGAGGTCATTCTCAACAGAAGAAGGTCACTATGACGGTATTTACTGGTGAGCTTCTAGACCGTTCTGTGCAAAGTATTGCTGTCATTTTTATTTTCCTTTCATGTGAAAACGTGCCTTAATAGAGTGTTTCCCAACCTTTTTGGTATGGTGACCCACAAGTACAAAATTATGACCTTGTGGCCCATCTAGTCCAGTATTGCATTTTCTACAGCAGCAACGTAGAAACCGTTGTTGAGAAACCCACAGACATCCCACAAAGGGCACAGCTGCCCCCAAGCAAGTGGCATTCCATATTCCCCTCTTGTCTGGCTACTACCGTGAAGTTACTTGGTGCCGGACTATTTGTTCTCCTTGTTCTTGCAAATGGAGGTGGAACGGGAGAATGTGAGACGTTGACAAGGAGGACGAGGAGAAAGAATGATGCGAAGGGCGGGAGTGGCCGTTAGGGAACACTGGCCCACTTCCAGAGGCTTTGTGACCTAGTTTTGGCTCTTGACCCACACATTGGGAAATACAGCCTTAATAGAATGTGTGTTGTCATTCACGTCCATATAAAGGGAAGAGAAGTTAACTTCCTGACATCTAGAGCGGTTCCCCGGGAGGTGGTGGGCTCTCCATCTTTAGAGGTTTTCAAGCAGAGGCTAGATGGCCATCTGACAGCCATGCTGATTCTGTGAACTTAGGTAGATCATGAGAGGGTGGGCAGGGAGCGTTGCATCAGGGCTTAGTTCTCGTGGCCCTTTCTTACACTCCCAGGGAAATGCCGATTACCACTTTGGGGTCAGGAAGCAATTTCCCCCCAGTCCAGTTTGGCTGGAAATCCTGGAGGGTTTTTTGTCATCTTCTGGGTGTGGAACAGCGGTCATTGGGGGTGTGGAGGGGGAGGTATTTGTGACTTTCCTGCATTGTGCAGGGGGTTGGACTAGATGCCCCTGAGGTCCCTTCCAACTCTGTGATGCTGTGTATCAGTTTTGCTACTACTTTGAGGATCTTTGTTGCATGTTGGAAACAAGTAGTGAAAGAAGCTTTGCTTGGATTCTATTTCTGCCTTAAAATAATTTTTTTCTGGTGCTACTATTTCTCAGCCCTCCCCCCCCCCAACCCCACGCGTAGCTCTCTCCCTCTCGTCAGTGCAGCTGATTGCCTTGTGTGTCTCGTTACAGGATAGACCTGCGGTCTAACTACCTCCTGAACACCACGATTGCTGGAGTGGAAGAGGCAGATGTCTTGCTTCTGGTCGGCACCAATCCTCGCTTCGAGGCACCGCTGTTCAACGCCAGAATCCGAAAGAGGTTGGTCCTAAGACAAAAGAATCACTCCTCCTGCAAACTCGTAAAGTGCGGTGTGGGTCAAGCTCTGATTTGAAGAGGGAACATGGAGCAGGGTCCTACTCTGTAAAGCAGATTTGCATTACGACATATTTTGCAGTGCTTCTCTTCCCCACACTTCTTCCCTGGCCCCCACTGGGGAAGTCATGCCAAGGGTCATAAGAACATAAGAACATAAGAGATGCCAATGTTGGATCAGGCCAAAGGCCCACCCAGTCCAACACTCTGTATCACACAGTGGCCAGAAATACCAGTGCCATCAGGAGGTCCACCAGTGGGGCCAGGACATTAGAAGCCCACCCACTGTTGACCCCCCCAAGCACCAAGATGACAGAGCATCACTTGCCCTGGAGCCACTGATGGACCTCTGCTCCATATGCTTATCTAATTCCCTTTTGAAGCCGTCCATGCTTGTAGCCGCCACCACTTCCTGTGGCAGTGAATTCCAAGTGTTAATCACTCTTTGGATGAAGAAGTACTTCCTTTTATCCGTTCTAACCCGACCGGTCAGCAATTTCATGGAGCTAAGTCAATCAGAGGTGCAAGCCTTGCGTACCTAAACTAACGGGAGCAGGTTCCCAGGCAGAGCGAAGAGTGCGAAGTACCAAGGTCAGGCTACTAGATTAGTCGAACGGGGGTTGGGGGGTTTCCTGTGTCAAGCACAGAGTTATGTCCCAACATTCGTACCAGATTTCATGTTGGTATCGTGATCTTCAGTGGTGTCGGTTGTGATGGTAAGCGCCGTCAAGTTGTAGCTGACTTATGGCGCCCCCATAGGGTTATCAAAGCAGGTGTCAGAGTGCCCACAGCAATCAGTCCCAACAATGTTCCTTCAGAAGGATCAAGTTTATCGAAGACAGTAAAGGCAGGTCATCTGTGCATACATTCTGTGTTAGAGCTAACTCAACTGGCGGGAGAGGGGAAGATATACTGCGTTCAAAGTGGGGACCCCCTGATGGAGCTAAGCCAATCAGAGGTGCAAGCCTTGCGTACCTAAACTAACGGGAGCAGGTTCCCAGGCAGAGCAAGGATCGCGAAGTACCAAGGTCAGGCTACTAGATAAGACGCAGCAGAAGAAGTGAAAGCTAACATTCCAGAACCTGAAGACGCTCACCCAGCGGCCTCCTTCCCCCCTCCACATGCTGTGGCAGCATAGCTGACAGCGGGAGATGAACAAAAGTGGTTTGCTGTTGCCCACTTCTGTGTAGCCATAGATTGACCTGATAGAGACTTTTTACAGTTTTATATTTCACTACGAATTGGCACCACATTTTAATTCTGGATTAAATACGGGAAAGAAGAGAGTACGGCCTCTTACGGACTCTCAGCCAACTAATAAACAAGGCTTTCTGTGCAGAGGAACTCTTGCAGGATAAACAGGGACCTGCACATCAGTGAAATGGCCATAGCAAAGATGTATGGGGTGTTATACAATCTCGAGCCTTAACGGCACCTCACATTTGGTCCGTTTTCAGCTGGCTACACAATGAGCTGCAGGTGGCCCTCGTGGGTAGTCCGGTCGACTTGACTTACACCTACGACCACCTGGGAGATTCCCCACAGCTGCTTCTGGACATAGCCTCGGAGAAACATCCATTCAGCAAGGTACCCTGTAATATTTTTTTAAAAGAAACCCACCGCAGAACCCATTGTGGCCGCGCCACTCCCGAATCGAGTGATATTTTTGTGCAACGGGTTTTCACCAAGGTCATTTGCTATGCAGAACTGATATATTCAATCCATAACGATTGGGTCAAGGTTAATAAATGTACCATGCGAGATTTAATTTATCTAATGCATTTCTAAAGCTAAGCTGGTCTGCCAGTGTCCGGATGGGAGGCATCTAACTAAACCAATTTAGTGTGGAGAGAATTCCTCGACTGCGTGCAGATCACCAATTCATGTTTGAAAACCACTTCTCTAGGAAAGCGCCTGAATCACTGCCGTGTTGATTTCCTTCCTCAGAGACCGGCACAATAATACAGTTCTGGCGTTGCATGGCTCTGCTTCATGTAAAGTAGAGAGGAGAACACAAAGCCCATTGGGTACTGGTGGCAAACCAAAATTTGACATCGTTGTGTTAAAAAATCGCCTTGAAAATGGGTTTGTTGTCTCGGTATTGTAGCCGTGATTTCCCCGTTCTCTTGCTTCTTCCACTCAGATCCTAAATCAGGCCAAAAAGCCGATGGTGGTGGTCGGCAGCACGGTACTTCAGCGGGGGGATGGAGCGGCCATTCATTCAGCCATTTCCACCATTGCCCAGAACGCTAAGAGCAAAAGCGGAGCTGCCGCCGAGTGGAAGGTCCTGAACATCCTTCATAGGTTTGCTCGAGCTTGATGCTATTCCGTGGGATCCCATGGAAGGGGCGTAAAAGGTTCCCAGTGCAGATCTGCTGGCTGTAGCCGTCCGAAGGCAGCTACAGAATGTCTAGAAATGTTGGGTTGCGCCCAGAAATGGTTGTTTTTTGTGCTCTCGCTGCACCATAGCAATCTCTCTCTCGCCCATACAGGAAGATCCAGATGTGAATGATTCCTGTAACGTGGTGGGTTGGAACCAGACTAGATTTTCCAGTAACAGAAAGGGAGAGACAATTTCACTGCAGACTCCTCACAAGTTGTTCCCCTGTTCCCAGGGCCTCGGGGGGGGGGGGCAGCAGGGCCATTTGGCCCAGGTCTCACATTCTAGGGGGCCCCTCAAATTTACACTTTTGATGCTAACTCTTAATTTGGTTATAGTTACAGATACAAATACTAATCTTCCCAACCTCCCATTTTCGGCGGGGTGTGTGTGTGTGTCTCAAAAATGGAAGTGGCCTTGGGCCTCTCTTTACCTCTGGTGAGGGCCTGCCTGTTCCCCCCCTCCTCAGAACAGCATTTTGTGGAGACCACAACACTGGGGGGGTGGGGGAGCAGGAAAGCTCCATTCTGCTTGTGGAAAACTCACTCTGGAGCTGCCCCAGTGAGAAGGCAGCATCCAGTCATGTGTGGAGGCGGCTGTGGTGACCAGCTCCATTATATTATATAGGAGGAAACAATTTTGGCCGTCCGAATGGGACACGGTGGTGATAGAAAGTACCATCAAGTCACAGCTGACTTATGGTGACCCCCTCATGGGGTTTTCCAGGCAAGAGATGGGCAGAGGTGGTTTGCCATTGCTTGCCTCTGCATAGCAACCCTGGGCTTCCTTGGTGGTCTCCCATCCAAGTACTAACCAGGGCCAACCCTGCTTAGCTTCTGAGATCTGACCAGAACGGGCTAGCCTGGGCCATCCAGGTCAGGGCGTACCCTAGTAAAAGATCTCCAGTAGGATACATTCAGATTTAAGATATAAATTTACTTCCAATACTGAGCATGAACAACTTATTAAATTTCCCACCTATCAGAATTTTTTTTGGCTCTGCACAAAACATGCTATGTGTAATTCTGTGTCATTCCTCTCACTTCCGCATGTGTCCAGCCACATGTTCTCCTCTGGCAGCTGCAGGCTTCTGAAGGCAGGCACTCCAGTCACACACACTCAGCTTGGCCTACGTTGCAGGGTTGTTGTGAGGGTAAAATGGACTGAGAAAATGATGTAAGCTGCTTTGGGTCCCCACCGGGGCAGAAAGGTGGGGTATTGCCAAAGTAGCTAAAATAGAGACACCGGACAAATTTAAACAGATTATATAATTGTTGTATGTTTCTTTGACTATTAAGGAAATTATGTAGGGTGAAGTAGTAATCTTTTCTGTATAGGGTTGCCAGCCAAGTAGCTGCACTTGACCTAGGCTACAAACCAGGAGTGGACGCAATCCGGAAGAACCCTCCCAAAGTCCTGTACCTCTTAGGGGCCGATGCAGGTTGCGTTAGTCGTCAGGATTTGCCCAAGAATTGCTTTATTATCTATCAGGGTAAGTAGCAGGCATGGAGTTCTTATAATTTTCCTCTAAACTCACGAGCTAGAGCAGTGGTTCCCAACTTGAGGGGGCCCAGAGTTGTTTTAAAGGGCCCACGAAACTATACGCACACTAAGCATTGCCATTTTTTGGGTCATTGTGCATTTTTTCCAATCGGTGGATACTAAGAGTACAGCTACTCTTGTGGGGAGTCTGCAGTTTTCCCCGATGTTAAAATGGGGGCCCCATACTCAAAAAGGTTGGGACCCACTGATCCAGAGTTAAGACTAAAGAGGAGCATGACCATTGGAGCCTGAACTTATTGTACCCCATGTGCGATTCTTGCAAATCCCAGCGGTGTCGCTCTGTACGTGCTTCTGGAAGGTTTTGAACCTTGTCCTTGAAATTTTTGCTGCCTGATGTTCGGCTCCAACTTCCTAAAAACCTCAGTGAATGAGGTCTTGGGGAAAATGTGAGGATTTCACCCATTTACTTCCTGCCAAGCATGTCCGAAAGACTTTAGAGTATGAGGACTGAGAAAGGAATGTAAGTTTGACTATGCACTGCCATCTGGAGTTTACTCCAGTCTAAGCCCATCAGCTTCAACAGGCTTAGAGTAACTGTGGATGGGATTCCCAGATTTGAGTCCAGTATCACCTTAGAGACCAAGAAGGGTTTTGGGATATACGTTTTCAAGAGTCAAAGCTCCCTTTGTCAGATGCATATCCGATGAAAGGTGGCTTTGATTCTCGTAACCTTATATCTGAAAAATCTTCTTGGTCTCCAAGGTGCTGCTGGAATCAAATCTAGTTGTTTTACTGCAGACCAGCATGACTGTCCTCTGAAACTATGTCCATAGGATTTACTGCTGGTCGTTTCTCTGATAGGAAGTAGGGGTGAGCGCTCGGTAAATACCGAGCTGTACAAATACCCGAAAAATACCTTATTAGTATTTTTCAGGAATTTATTCAGCTGAATACAGATTAGAGATCCGTACTTGGCCACCGATATAGCTGAGCCCGAATACAGCCGATATTATTCGACTTTTATACAGGTGTGGTACAGTTATACCAAAGCAGCCCCAGCGATCGTGGAACCAGCTTCTTCTGTGAGGTCGTTTAAACCGCCTTGCAGAAGAAGCCCTGCCAGCAGGGTCTGTGTGTGTGTGGGGGCTCTCCCTTCCCACCCGCCAGCTCCTGGGACCAGCTTCTGCGGGGCGGTTTAAACCACGCTGCAGAAGAAGCCCTCCCAGCCAGGTCTGCGTGCTGCGGGGAGAGAGTGACATCCCCGGGCACGCCAGATTCTGGGGGCCAACTTCTCCTGGCCCATGGTTTAAACTACGGAGCAGGGGAAGCCTGATGCATTTAAAGGGATGGTCCCTTGAAATGTGTTTGGCAAGCCAAGCCTTGAATGAACCCAGAAGGGTGAAACTTCTGAGTTCACTCAGACCGTGGCTTGCTCAACTGAGTGGTGGGGAGGTGGGTAGACCTGTTCTCCAGAAAGGGGTGGGTAGACCTCCAGAGGACAGGTCTACCGATATGGTGGAAAGGGGTGGGTGAAATATGACTTGATTCCATTTTCTCTTATGTTTAATTTATTCTTAAAATATAGTTTGAATATAATTTAAAAGAATTTATTCTGAGATTTTTACAAGGTTATGGAATTAATCCTATAAAAAATTAATTTATGCAGTAACTCGCTCTCAATTTTAATGCTACTAACTTTTTTTACTGACAAGGTAGAATTTCTGCTCACAGCCCTGTGGAGCTTAGAGGGAACATTGTTCGGGTTTCCCCAGTATTAATTCGAATACCAGTACAGTGCCGATACAGGTATTCAGGAGTAATTGGGAATACCGAATATTTTTGGATCAAAAATACCCAAATCCGAATTCAGCCGAATTTTTTTTCTTACACACCCCTAATAGGAAGGGTAGTATGCAGCTTCTGCTCCATTCAAAAGTATCATCAGTAGGAAATAAACGTGGGTGATTTTTTTATAGTCCACCGTCTTTGCACTGACCTTTGCTTGGTGCATCTGTGTGCTTTAGCTCAGCGTTTCCCAAGACTCAAAATTGGGTCGCGAAGCCTCTGGAAGTGGGTTGCAGGCCACCCCTCCCCAATGTCCCTTCCCTCCTTCTGTATCATTCTTTCTCTCCCTGTCCTTTGTAAATTTCTCACATTCTTGCCTTACACCTCTCTTTTCAACAATAAGGGCTGGGGTGGGGGGGATCTGTCAGGCAACTAGTCTAGTTGACAGTAGTAGTTGGAGGAAGGGGGGGAAAGCCTAAAGAACTGGTAGGAGCTGTTCAGTGCATGGAAAAGCACAAGGAGGAGGGAACTTGGCCAAGGGTACCCCAAAAACGTGGATGATTACCATACCAGAAAGTCTGGGAACCGCTGCTTTAGGCTCCCATCACAAGTACACTTAACTAAGCCAATGCTCTCTAATAAACCGAGGGATTCCCATGGAATTCGGTGAACCTTACTTTTGATTGGGGAAAGCTTCTGGTTGACAACTGAACTTCAGAGCCTTCATAGAAACTCCTCCTGTGTTGCACGTTGTTTAAAAGGCTTCATAGCTCTACCATCTGCCAAGAGTGGCTTGAACAGTGTGTTAACAGTGGTTCAACAAGCTCATCAAGGGTATAATTACAGAAAGGCAATTACAGATATCAAGTGGCAGGGACATGAATGCAAACTTCAGCCAGAAAGACTACACTAGTATTGGGGCAAGAACGATAAAGTACATGTCACACACTGGGGGGCGGGGGTAGGTGGAGGGAGAGCAAGCCCTCTTAATATGGTGTTTAATATGAGAGCCAGTTTGGTGTAGTGGTTAAGTGCGCGGACTCTAAGCTGGGAGAACTGGGTTTGATTCCCCACTCTTCCACTTGCAGCTGCTGGATGACCTTGAGCAAGCCATAGTTCTGCCAGAGCTGTTCTCTCAAGGGCAGTTCTGGAAAGAGCTCTCTCAGCTCCACCCACCTCACAGGGTGTCTGTTGTGGGGAGGGGAAGGGAAAGGAGTTTGTAAGCCTCTCTGAGACTCTGAGTGAAGGGCGGGGTATAAATCCAGTCTCCTCTTCTTCTTCTTAGTAGAGGATTAGTGAAGAAAAGATACAGTGTTCTTCCTTTTAGAATGGATGGACAAGCTAACTCTAGGTCTGAACGTCATCAAGGCTTCTCTTCAGTCAAGGGAGTGTGCATTTGCCTGTACGAGGCTCCGAACCATGCAGGTTATATCAGTGACGTTTCCCGGCACAGCTGATGCCAGTTCCACGGCTGTTTGTTTCAGGGCACCATGGTGATGTCGGCGCCCCGATGGCTGATGTCGTTCTCCCAGGAGCCGCTTACACTGAGAAAGCTGCAACCTACGTAAACACCGAGGGCCGAGCTCAGCAAACCCGAGTTGCGGTGATGCCGCCCGGCGTGGCGAGAGAGGACTGGAGAATTATTAGAGCCGTCTCCGAGGTACCGCAAGTGTATGAAAAATTAATTGCCACAGCGTGCAAGTCAGGGCTTGCAGGGATACTGCTGCAGTAAAAAAAGAAAACGTTGTTTCCTTGAATCTTCTCGCGGCACCGGCCTGGAATCTCGGTGGAACCTCGTAAATCTATCAGCACATTAAATTGGTTTCGGGATGCTTTTATAATGTTTTGCTTTGACTTGTTAAGCCCCCCTGGCGGCCCTGATGGGGCAAAAAGGCGGAATATAAATTCTGTACGTATATAAAATTATTTTTGCTGAAAAAGAAGAGGGTGGAGGCAGATGAGGAAATATGTCTTCTTTCTCAGGATTCCCTGGAATAGCCAGGGAGCAGACTGGATTCTACTCTGGCTCGTAGGATAAAATTATCACCTAGTGTGTGCCGTATTAGCACTTGGGGACTAGCTTATTCTTGGTGGGACGTTAATGCACAGTAGACCTGCCAGTTGTTCCCTTGTTGATCGTACTTGCACGAAACACAAATACGATACTTCAGCTAATCCCCCCTCAAAATTACAGTAACTTCAGCTGCCTCATTGCAAATATTGACTGTTTTCAGTGTGAGCCATCATCACGTGCAGTCATTGAAGCATCTCACCTGGGAAACCCAGGTTTCAGTTACTGCTCTAACATGTAAGCTCGCTGGGTAACCCTGGGCCAGTCACTCGTCAAAACGAAGGAAAAGGGGAAACAAAACTCGGCCTGAAATATACTGAAAATGCTTCAAGGGTCAAACTGCAGCCAATAAAATATTATCAAAACAAATATTTTATTATGTGGCATACACAATAGTAAAATTTTAAAAATGCACTTGAGTATCAGGCTGCGTTAAGAATCACAGGACGCTTTACATAGGCTGCAATAATTTCCCAAAGTTCATGAACAGCTCAAATGACCAACACAAGACCATATGCATTTTGGCTAGCGTAGTGGTTAAGAGCGTGGACTCTAATCTGGGAGAACCGGGTTTGATTCCCCACTCCTCCACTTGAAGCCAGCTGGGTGACCTTGGGTTAGTCATAAGTTCTTTCAGAGCTGTTCTCTCAAGGGCAGTTCTTGGGAGAGCTCTCTTGGCCCCACCTACCTCACAGGGTGTCTCTTGTGGGGAGGGGAAGGGAAAGGAGATTGTAAGCCACTCTGAGACTCCTTCAGGTAGTGAAGGGTGGGATATAAGTCCAATCTCGTCGTCCTCTTTTCAGTACACGCTTCTTATGGTCTTCTGTTGGTCATTTGACGTGTTCATCAACTTTGTTTGGGAAATTATTACAGCTTATGTAAAGCTTGCTCTGATTCTTAATGCAGCCAGATAAACCGGTCTTATGCTTTAATTTTACTATTGTGTACACCATATAATATTTTGGTAACATTTTATTGGCTGTAGCTTGACTTCTGTAGCATTTCCAATCACTCTCCGTCCACCTAACCTACCTCGCAGGGTCATGGTTGCGAGGATAAACCAGAGGAGAGAACGTTGTCGTTGGCCACTTCGGGTCTCCCTTGGGGAGAAAAGTGGGAGGTCAATACATAAAAATAATCAAAAGCCATCACGACAGTATCAGATCTTGATTTTTGTTGTCGTTTGTATTTGTTCCTCCCTGCCCGTTTTTGTCTTTTCCAGCTGGCCGGCATGACCCTCCCGTACGATACCCTTGATCAAGTGAGGAGCAGATTAGAAGAAGTCTCTCCAAATTTGGTCCGATATGATGACGTGGAAGAAGCCAACTACTTTCGCCAGGCTAATGAGCTCTCCAAGGTATGATGTCAGCTCTGCTATTCTCTGCACTCGCTCGACTCAGCGAGAACAGGGGCTTTTGCGGCAAGCTGAGGAGAATACAATGTACTGTGTGGAGAGTGAAAACAATGATTATTTCCCCTGGAGGTGATTGCCACGTTCTTGTAATTGCAGGTGGTGAATCAGAAGCTTCTGACCGATCCCCTCGTTCCACCCCAGCTCACAGTGAAAGACTTCTATATGACAGGTACTGTGACCACTGACGCAGTTCGAGGGAAACGTAAATGTGCAGCGTTTTTATCACATGAATCCACAGTAGGCCTCTAGTGCATTTGGTAAAGAGGCAGAGCAGCGGTTTCACTTCCATATGAAGCACTTTGATTGCTGTTGCGAATAAGGAACTATCATGAAGACAGTGGGTAGGGGCACGGCGTGGCTGACTGGGACTGCAGAGTGCCAAGTTTGAACCCCTTTTCATCTGCAAAGCTCCCTGGGTGACCTTGGGCCAGCCATTTTCTCTCCGCCTGGGGTGGTTGTGTGCATAGAATAAAGGGTAGAACTATGTTGGCCACCCTGAACTCCCTGACAGAATATTACTAGTATTTTTATTTGGTTTTACACACATGCACTTAGAATCGTAGAATTGGAAGGGACCTCCAGGGTCATCAAGTCCAACCCCCTGCACAATGCAGGAAATTCACAAATGCCTCCCCCCCCCCACGCTCCCAGTGACCCCTGCTCCATGCCCAGAAGATGACGACAAACCTCCAGGATCCCTGGCCAAACTGGCCTGGAGAAAAAATTGCTTCCTGGCCCCAAAGTGGTGATCAGGTCTACTCTAGTGGGCTTACACCCAGGAAGATGTTCTCAGGATTGCCCTGTTAGAGACAGAGACTGGGAGTTAACTAAATCTGGCATATAATATGTTAAGAACAGCTCCAGTGGGGTTTGGCCAAGTTTCTGTTCCCCGAATACAGCCAGTCTTGGAATGTGACCTTCACCAATTGCACATAAATGCTTGTCTTCACAGATCCTATCAGCAGAGCATCACAGACAATGGCTAAATGTGTGAAAGCTGTTACAGAGGGGGCTAAGGCAATTGAAGAACCATCCTTCTGCTAAGGAATGAGATCCGGAAGTCCACCAGGCACTAAAAGAGTGATTTTTCTCCACTTCTGTTCTCCACCCACCTGTGGTAGTCAGTTTTTGGGTTCAGACCTTCTTTAAATGAATGCAGGTAAACTTTATTTAAGGCTAATGGTCAGTGTGCATTTAATAATTATGTTCAGCACAATTTACTGTATCTATGCATACTTATTATGTATACTGATTGTGTACAAAAATGATGTAAAATTAAAACAGTTTTACAGATGGGAGCCTATTTCTGTGTGTTCTGATTCATCAAAGTAATGATAAAAGTTTGGATGCGTGTACAATCTACCCCATAGAGTAATGGGAACAATATAGCAAGATCGAAGTATTTTGTTGCATTTTATCATGCTGTCTGAATTCTGGACAAAGGAGAGTAAACTTTTATAAAGGGTGTTATGACAGTAATAGGCTTACACCTATTACACCCAAGAGGTTTAATGTTGCTGTTTTTTTAAATATCAGATACAGTGCAGAAAAACTAGTGTCTCAAAGTCTGACTTCCGTATTTGATCTACTGAAATAGTACAGAAACAGCACAAAGTGAATATGAAAACAAAAAACACAATACAGAAGAAAGCCGCAGTGAAAATAACTTTGCCCTAATATCTTTTGTGAATATAGTACACAATCTTGATATTTGTTCGCTGGGCAAAAATGGAACCAACCCCACCGGATGTCTTCTCACCAGGACACTTACCAGTGCAATCCTAAAAAGTGTGTAACTCTGTTTAGGATTGCACTGTAAAGGAGAAGCTGGAAGCTCCAAGATTACTACTTCTGTTGTGCTGCAGAAACTGTGAACTTCTAACTCTAACCTTTCAATGACTGTTAAAGCAATTACAAGATTACTACTTCTGTTGTGCTGCAGAACTGAACTTCTAACTCTAACCTTTCAATGACGGTTAAAGCAATTAAAAGATCAGTTCCTGCAATGGAGAAGACAAACCTCTATGGAAGTTAGAATTGACCAACATTAACTCTTGCCTACATGCAAGCTAATGTACTGTATCTGTAATGGTGCAGACATTTGGCAGATACACAGACCAGTACTTTACCATGCAATCAGGTCTGTATCTAAAGAGTCCTGTGCTGAAACACAAAACCCTTCTTTGAGGGGGAAGGTGGGTGCTGATTCTGCTCTTACTCCTGGCGACCTTTCCCATACCAATTGAGAAGGCCCCTGACCCAATGTGGGCAGGGGACATGCGTGCCTAGTGCTGTATCAGGAAAAGTGGCTGAAGAACCTCCAGTCTGCATAAAGCGTTCAAATCCTAGTGCCAGTAAAGAGAGATGACTAAAATATTCTACTGCTGTTTGGTTTTCAGTTTACCAAAATCCCTCTAGCGGCACAACTTCTCTTGTGGGAAGCCACAAATTCCCTGTGGTGAGGGGATCAAAACTCAAATTAGAATTTGCAGGGAAAATACTTTCCATTTTTATATAGATAAGAGTTTAAGCAAACTAATTTCAATATAGAGCAATTGGAGAATATCATTCCCAGGTGAAGTGGACTTAGGCCACTTTCGCTGGTCACAATAGGGCTAGTTTCAGTAGCTTTATGGTTTTGGCTCACTTGCTCAGGTCATCCATCAATCAGCACAACCGTTCTGGGGATTGTGGCGTCATTTATTGACCATTTAGATTTCCCCCAAACCCACAAAAAGGAAGACAAGGCAAACTAAAGCTAAAACTCTTGTTTGCATGCTACACACTTTTGCACAGTAGGGATGGCTTTAACTTTAATCTTTAGGCTGCTTAACTGACCAGCTCTTCAATCCTAAATATGTCTTAAAACAGTCCTACTGACTTCAAGGCTACAGTCTAGGTTTTACAAAACTCGGTATTTGACACAGTTATTTAATGCTAGATTAAGGTGGGCAGCTGTATTGGTCTGAAGCAGCAGAGCAAAGTTTGAGTCCAGAGGCACCTTTAAGACCAACAAACGTTTTATTCAAGGTATAAGCTTTCTTGTGCAGGCACACAAAAGCTTATACATTGAATAAAACTCTGTTGGTCTTAAAGGTGCCTCTGGACTCAAACGTTAATGCTTGTTAGATGTTTTAACGGTGGGTATGGGGAGGAAAACCCATAAAGAGGGCAATTGATTTCTATTTAAAACCACTATTTCACCTCCCAGCCTGAAAGGCTTTCGAGGTACATTAACACCTTATAATAGTTCAAAAGGAATCAGAAACTTAATAACAGCCCATAACAAAGGAATAAGAATACCATAAGAAGATTCTTTTGAACTATGGTGCTGGAGAAGACTCTTGAGAGTCCCTTGGACTGCAAGAAGATCAAATCAGTCAATCCTAAAAGAAATCAACCCTGACTGTTCCCTGGAAGGCCAAATACTGAAGCTGAAGCTCAAATACTTTGGCCACCAAATGAGAAGGGAGCACTCACTGGAGAAGACCCTGATGCTGGGAAAGACTGAAGGTCAAAGAAGACGGGGACGGCAAAGGATGAGATGGTTAGACAGTGTCATCGATGCAACGAACATGAAGTTGAGCAAACCTCAGAGGACGGCGGAAGACCGGAGGGCCTGGCGTGACCTGGTCCATGGGGTCGCGAAGAGTTGGACTCGACTGTGCGACTCAACAACAACAACAAGAAGAACGGGCAAATATCAAGAACATACCACAGCCACCTCTCCAACTTACTTTTCCACAAGGGCACATCCCCAAATCCTACTCTGCATTTGGTAACTGACGACTGCGGCTGTACTAAGATCACCTTGATATGCTCCTACTCATTCTTGATCACGAATGACACCAAGTCAAGTATGGTGGTCTTCGCCTCCTTCCTTAGGGTGAGGTGTGTGGTTTGTAGGCCAGTGTGATGTCATTGCTGGAATGTCAGATTAAAATCCGGGAGACCCAGGTTCAAGCTCCCACTCTGCCCACAGAAGCTCGCTGGGGTCAGTTGCACGCACACACCTACATCACCAAGTTGTGAGATAAAATGGGAGGACAGGAGAATGATGTCAGCCGCTTTGGGTCCCCCACCAGGGAGAACGACAGGGTACGAATGAAGTAAACCGTAGGCATGCAGATCGGGCTGGAGAAGGGACTGCTGAGCTCAAACATGAAGGCAGCCCAGTTGGGAAAGGGGGCACTTCAGGGGACTTTTTCCAAGTGAGGCTGGGGTTTCCTGAGAACTCTTCCTTAGTGTTCAAATCCTGCCACCGCCTGCATCGGCACAGCAGTCTGAGAGGAGAAGGTGGACGGCCGTAAGCCAGAAAGTTGGGCTTTTCAATAGCTGGCAAATTCCTTTGCATCGCCTTGTTTCTGACAAGCAATGTTCCCTCTAAGCTGTGGAGTCTTGTGAGCAAAAATCCTACTTTGTGAGCTAGTGGCATTAAAGTTGTGAGCGAGTGATTTGGCTGCTGCATAAATTAGTTTGCTCTGGAGCCCTCCTTCCTGAACCAAGACAAAAATGTGTGAGCTGGAGGCTAAAAAACTGAGCTAGCTCACACGAACTCAGCTTAGAGGGAACACTACTGAGAAGTCCTGCCGTAGTCATCTTAGCTCAGGAGTTTTATCAGTTTTCTAGATTTATTTTCACAAAATCTTGTTTCATTTTCACTGAAGACAAACACCGATATAGCTAGAGTTGGGTCCGCCGCTCACACGAGAACACAACAGCAAGCACATCTGCAAGAGGTGCCGAGTCACTGCATCAAATTCCGATTCTGACATCTGTCCCTCTGTGATGTTTGCCATATTAGGCTAAGGAAGCTGTGTATCTCCTCAGAGCTGATAAGTTTTATCTGCAGCTGTGCGTGGGTAAGTAAAAAGCTGACAGGCTGGCAATGAGCAGCAGAAGGAAAAGAAATGAGGCCTAAAAAGCTATGTCAAAGTTTATTTAGATAAAAGATGGACCCAGCCGCCTATTGCCCACTTGAAGCTTTAAAAAACTTTTAAAAAGCGTTAAAGAACTTTAAGAACAAGTATTTTAAATAGTGATCAAGAGCTCTTGAGAAGGCTATGCAGCAGCCGGCACCATCTCCGTACGTTTGGTTCATTCAGTGTCAAAACGAGCATTCCCGTCCCCTCAAAAAAGTGTTTCTGCCTTTTCTACAAAAGTTTAAGACTGAAAGGCCGAACCGGACCCGGATCCTCCTGCTGGGCCCTTGGAACTTTAAGAAGGGGCTCAGGCATCCCACTTAGCGACAGAAACTAATTCGGGGGGAAGGGAGAAGAAAGAGTTAATTTTGTATTTTTTAAAAACGCCAAGGCGGCATAAAACCAAAACACCCTCCGTTTCCTGTTATCCTAACTCTGTCACCCACGTGTGTTGAGCAACTCTGGGCTCACACCCTTCGCAGAAGGCTGTTCAATACAGAGACGACTGTGCACAAGTCACTTCTGAGAAGGAGTTCCCCTGAATCATACCATAAGCAACTAAGCAAATGACGGCATGTGTCTCTGCGATGGGAGAAGCGTCCCTCTGACCGTAAACATTCTTTGCTCTGCAGTTCATGCCCTCTAGCCCTGTACAACTATTGTAATCAGAGGTCATTTCGGGGGGGATCGCAGGGGATCGCAGTTCCCCCGGGTGAGGGGCGGGGGGCGGGGCACATGACAAAGCCCCGCCCCCTGCTTCCGGCCCTCATTCAGTCAGGAGGAGGCAGGAGAAGAGGGAGGGTAAGTTGATTGCTCCCTGCCTCTCCCCACCCCTGCCTGCCTGGGGCCAGGGAGGGCCTTCGCGGGGCTTCCTTGCACTCCCGATGAGTTCCCCTAGCTCTCTTTCTACGAAACGACCCCTGATTGTAATATAACCAGGGCCAAGAGAATTAGCTTAGGCCACCGCATTACTGGGAAGTTCACTGTACCGCTAATTTATTTCTGGCTCACGTTTCTCTCCCAAGTTTACATTGTTCTGTTTTATCCTCACAACAACCCTGGGAGGTAGGTTAGGCTGAGAGCAGGTGACTAGCCCAAGGTCAACCAGGGAGCTTCCAAGGCAGAGGGGGGATTCGAAACTAGGTCTCCCAGGTCCCAGTACAACACTTGAAACCCCTGCACTGTACAGGTGCTCAGCCTGGCCAGCAGGGGTAGACGGGGGAGGTAAAATGGCCCAGGGACAAGCCAAACTAATTAGCCCCCGTGGCGCTACAAAAACCACCACTTCGGGGGCCACTCAGCTCAGACCCTACCAGAAGTGCCAACAATCTGGCCTCACCCATTGCTGCCTCCCGCTAACAGGCTGCATAAGGA